TTTTTGAAACAATGTGAAGTTCTTCCTTGAGATTTGAGATACATGTATTAAAGGCAAAGGTCTTTTTATAACTTAAATCTTAATGCTCCATAGCATCCTCATTTTAAAATCACCTACTTCTAGACACACCAAAAATTTCAGATAATTTTTTAACTGCTATTTGAAACCTGTGAAGTTGCACAGGACTAGCATATATTCACTCACCACTTTATTGACTACTTGTAACTACACTCTTTGTCCATTTTTTCAGGTCCATTTACCATACAAGTGCACTTTGTAGTTCTTTAATTACAGATGATAATCTCTCTTTTTCTCCACATAATTTGCTAGCCCCTCTTTATCCCTTTCAACGATGGTCAGGACTTGCTGAATGTTGAATCTTGTATGTCACTTTGCTGCTGTTGTGTTTCTGTATAGTGCCTGTGCCCTTGTGTTTTGCGGTAATATTTTTGGTATAATGATAAACAGAAAAGGCAGGCTGCCCCTAAACTGGCTTTGACCCAGCCTCACTGAATCTCTAGAAGAGATGATAATGAAGTAAATCAAACATTTGATTAACTGAAATGAAGGGGAAAAAACATGACAAAATCTGTTCAGTAAACTGAATTAAACCTCTCCTAACCAATGCTCCTGGGCCAGTGTTCCAGTTCTGTTCTTTTCTCATGATGCATAGTAATTGAATTCAGTTTAGGAAATGGTCTCATCGCTGTGCTGGGCACAGTGAATTTCTGTTAAAGAAATGTGTACATCATATAGGCCAAGTGTATGAATATACAGCACTGTACAAAATTTAGTCACCTGAGAACATTAAAATAAAATGCTGTTTATCTTGGTGGTAAGCATTTATTTACATACAGAATAAATAAAAATAACAAATACAATAAGTAGTGATTTTATGTGTGTCAGGGTGTTTTTGTAACCATTTCCAAACTCCTCAAGGAAGCTAAGCATTACTTGTAGTTTTTATACAGTAAATGCTTTGGCTAGTCAGTGCTTCCTTATGTTGAATCAATTGTGCTGGTGATGGAATTTAAAGAATCTATGCGTGGCTGAAGGTGCTGAGGAGAAATCTGGGACCAAACTTAGTTCTTCAGACTACCTCACAAGATATAGGCCTACCTGCTTTTTGAAAATAACACCTTCTTGTTAGATTTTACTGTATTTATGTTTATAGCAAAACAAGCAAAACACACTTGTGTGCTTGGCTGCTAAAGACTTTTGCACAATACTGTATAATAGAATAGAATAGAACAGAATAGAATAGAATAGAAATGCACATATTTATGCACTGCATATACATTTTTATGTTGTCTGTCTTTATACCTTAAAGACTTTGGCACCGGTAAGGATTTTGCGCTATAACGTTGGGCCTTCCTGGACTTGCCTTTAGATAGTTTGTGTCTCAGATTAAGCATTGCATATGGACCCCAAGGTGACTTGTTATGCCGCTGGGTAGGTGTATCTAATAAAGTGGTCAGTGAGTATATTAGAGTATTCTTATATATTGGATGTATATTATTTAAAACATTGGTTGCAAACAATTGAATTGAGAGTTTGAACAGTGATGTACTACAACACAGCTTGAAAAAGAGGTGATTATGAAGAGGTTTACTTGAGGGATCATGTGCATTAACCACTCGAGTGGAGCTGTCAGTCAGGTTTGTGAGGTGAGATATTAGCAGGTGTGTATCAGCAGATGCTGCAGCTCTGCGTGTTTGTCCTGATTAATCCGATCAGTGTGAGGCTGCAGATCAGCTGCAGGCCAGTGCTGGAGCAGCAATTAGACACGTGGCTCTGGAGCACAAGCAAACTAATGATCCGGAATAAATGGCATGCCCTCTGCCTCCCCCCCCACACACACACACACACACACACACACAGACAGAGTGAGCCAGCAGAGCTCATGACATCCAGTCAGATGGAAAGAAATTGTACTGACGAGCTCTAGACACACACACATTAACAGGCCTATTTGTAGGGTGACAGAGGTGTTCCATGAGGGGGTAATCAGAGAGACAATGCCACAGTTGTTCTGTAGAACATCAGAAGGTGTTGGTAATACTGAATGAAAGAATAACAGAGAGAAGAAGGAGAAAAACTAGAGAAGAAGAGAAAAAGCATAATAGTTTAAACTGAAAAAAGACATGGGGCAAGCAGGGTACAAACTAAAATGAGGTAAAATGTAACATGGATTCTTTATGTAGTTAAACAGGTCCAAGTGGAAAGTGCTTTTGGTCAGCTTCTCGTATTCACATAGCATGTCATCTGTGAATTTTGACAGCAGTCAGACAGACAGTTCTAAGAATTCACCCTGAAAACTGTTTTTGTACCATAAAACTAACTTTTTTCCATCATATCATTTCCATCATTTTTTTCTGATTACTGAGTTGTATGTATAAGTCACAGAGTTCTCTCCTGTTATTTTATTCACACTGTTGGTGGCTGTTATATGTCATTGTTTTGACACATGTAAACAACTCACAATGAGAGTTAGCCAGGGCTAAAGTACAACCTCCACATGGCGGGGTTAGTTTTAACACAGTGGATGAATGAATATAATGAAAGTACATATTTCTCTCATGTAAATTCAAAACTGGTCATTTTTGTAAGGTTTTTTGTACAGATTCATTAAAATACTATAGATGTCTACATATGCCATGTCAGTAAAATAAATTCTTTTATCATGCTGATTATCTTTTCCATTTTGTGGTAAAAAATTATTTTGAGCCTCTTTTCACAAATGTATGAGAAAACAAAAATTTATATATAAATTTGATTATATATATATATATATAATCAAATCTCAAATACCAAAATACTTAGCAAAAAACATAATGTGTCAGGCTGACAGGCTGAGCCCCACTTTCCCCTACATGAGCACATAATTGACGCCCTGTAGTTTAGAGACAGAAAGGGATTTGCTGTGTGTGGTCAGTCTGAATCAGTGAGGGTTAGTAATTATTGCTCAATGCTGTGGTGAGGTCTTGGTGTTGTGAGCATGTGGACTGTACCCCACACACTGACGCACTCAAGCCAGAGTTGAACAGAAGTTCAGTCACTTTAAAAGAACCACAACTTTAATTGAGAACATGTTTTGATTATGCTATTGTAATTTGAAACCTCTTTTTCCCAGACGTGTTTGATACACATCCTGGCCTGCTCCCTTTTTCAAACTCTCAAGTACATTCACCCAGCAACACGGTCAAATTGTCTATAAAGGCGATACACATACATAAACACTGAGTTGTCAATTTAGGTGTACCTACTTTTAGCTACACTTACTGGCCAGTTTATCATGCACTCCTACTCTGTATGTGTAGTTTGTAAGTATACAGTTATTGACTGTAGGCATTCTGTTAATGCACAGTTTGTCAGCCCTCTATCACATCCATCAATAGGAAGGGACCACCATAGGCCCACTGAATATTATTTGGGTGGCAAACTACTCTCAGCACAGTAGTGACAACAACGTGGTTGTGGTTTATTAGTGTATGTTGCACTGGTATGACTGTAAGAGGTACAGCACTGTTGGGTTTTGGTTTTTTTTGCACACTGTGTACACTTACTGGCCACTTTGGTGGTACAGCTTGTAGGTTTACAGGTACACACATGCTGGTGTGACTGCTTTGCTCTCCATTGATGGGTAGTGTAAAACAGGTTCTCAAACTACTTGCCCAAAGGCAATATCTGGCCCATGAGACAGCTTCATTTGTCTCGGCACATTTAAAAATGTAAAATGTAAAACAAGGTTAAAAAACCTTTAAATCCAGTCCTCAAATATTTTTTTCACTTTTCTGCAGCTAAATAATTATATCTGATTGGTAGATTTGTTTTACCCACCAGACACTGTGGCTGGTCACTTAACAAAAGCTATATAAAATCAGCTATCATTATTATTATCATTATTATTATTATTAGTAGTAGTAGTAGTAATAGTAGTAGTAGCAGTAGCAGTAGCAGCAGTTGTAGTAGTAGCAGTACTGGTAGTGGCTTGTGTTGACAGAAAAATGGCTAATATACATTGACTATGCTTGAATGAGTCAATATGTTAAAATTCATACTTGGCAAAAACATGGGACACTTTTTCCTTCTGCATTTCCTCAACCAGAAGAGCCCTGGTGTAGAAGGTGACTAAAAAATTGTCCATAGCACCAAATGGGCTACAGTCAGAATTTTAAACCTACAAATGCCCCTGTATGATAGGTGTTTCTGTTAAATGGCCAATTAGGGTCTATCTATCTATCTATTTGTCTGTCTGTCAGTCTGTCTGTCTATCTATCTGTCTATCTATCTATCTATCTATCTATCTATCTATCTGTCTATCTATCTGTATGTATCTCTTTCTGACAAACATACACGGACAAAGAGTCTCTCTGTTCTGTTGAGCTTGCTCTATAGTTTATGTTTACGTATGCATCCATTCCCCTCAGGATCTTTGCTCTTTTCATGGAGAGCTTTCTGTAATAAACCTTGGCCTACACCATACTGTGCTGACTCTTCCAGGGGATAAAATGTTCAGTCACTGTGGTAAAATGTGTGATAGAGCATGAACTCATCTTCACTGTAGTAATCATGCATGATCTCAGCATCAAGGATGCATTCAGCATCGAGTGAGTAGCATTTAGCCAATGACCTGAAGCTGAGGAGGCAGAGTGCCAGTTATGTCGTCTGTGCCCTGAAAGCAGTGAAAGCTCTGAGTTTAGTCATCTTTGAGTATACTGGTCATGTCTTAATCGCAGTTACTCTTGATGTGCACCAGACCTAAGTGGATTACTGAGCAGACTTTTTAAGAAGGACCTTAGATGTGCTTTTACTTAACTAATTTATTAACTTATTAACTTTATTTCTTTTGTTTTATTGTTGGTATTTTTATATGTTTGGTGTGGAGTAAGTTGAGAAGATACTGTCATAAAAGTGTGTTTTATTAATACATGTTGCTATTATTATTATTATTATTATTATTATTGTCATCATTTAATCGTCTCTCTGTTTTCACCCAGGACCACACACGTGTTGTCAGTCCCATCATTGATGTCATCAGCCTGGATAACTTTGCTTACCTGGCAGCCTCTGCTGACCTCAGGGGAGGTGAGGGCAGTATCTGTAATCTCAATACAGATAATCCCTGCAGCTAGCATAGGATTAAGAGATCTGTTACAAGTATATATAGTCATATGCAAACCTTTTTATACCCCTGTTAAATAGCATATTCTGTTGATGTTTAAGTGAAAATAAGTTAACACATCCTCTACAGAGAACACATAGAAATGTGGCATTTTACTGCACAGTTTCTGTGTATTTGCTTAGGAAAGAATATAAAATAAATATTGAATGTTCCATAACTTTTGCACAGGCCACATTTTATGTTTATTTTTTAATAAACAGTAATTGTGGATTAAAATGTGCAGAAGTTTGTTATCTGTAGAGTGCCCAAACCTTTGCATATGACTGTACATCCAGTTTGACTGTGATTAGCAAACATGTAGACATGTGTTTACAGTCTCAGTTACAAGTAATGCCTCTAATTTTTGTACCTAGTCTGGTTTAATAGAACTATTGCGTTGTAGAGCTTATAAGAGTGATAAAAACTGAAGTGACTCCAGCTTGATCTTTCACTCTTGGACCACAGGGTTTGACTGGAGCTTACACTTTAAGTGGGAGCAGATTCCTATTGAACAGAAAATGGCCAGAAATGATCCAACACAGCCAATCAGGTGAAGTCATGTAAATAATCACTTGTCATGTTTGCTCTCTCTCTCCCTCTCACTCCTTCTCTCTCTCTCTCTCTCTCTTTCTCTCTCTCACTCTCTCTCTCACTCTCTCTCCCTCTTTCTATATGGCCTCTAATTAAATACTGTGTGCACCTTTAGGACACCCGTGATTGCTGGTGGGATCTTTGTGATGGATAAGAGTTGGTTTAATCACCTGGGACAGTATGACACACACATGGATATCTGGGGTGGTGAAAACTTTGGTGAGTTTACTAGATGTGCACTCTACTACTGTGATCAGCATACAGTACAACACAACTAAATGCAGCCCTGTTTCTTCTTGTGCTGTAGGTATTAAACAGCGTATTCTCTCGTGTAGTTTGTAGTTAAAGCACAAAAAACTTGAACTAATTATGATGGAGGAAGTGATGGTGTCTCAAACGGAAAATGAGTGACAGAGTTTGTTGTGAGTGTTAATTGGGTACATTAAACTGTCGAGTTCTGACGGCAGAGCTCATGTTTGATGGCTGTGTAAGTGTTTGTGTTTGTATGAGTATGTTTTTCAGTGTACCTGTTTGAGAGTCTTTGGAGAGGGGTAAAGCTGGTAGTAGTGTGCCTATTCTGTCAGACTTGATAAACAAGTTCCTTCAAAACAAGACGTTTCAGTTCATCTCCTCAGCATCAGTCTAATGTAAAATTTATAATTTATGGTGAACTTCAGAAGCAAGGAAATCTGCTGCTATTCTTTGCAGTCTTTTGAAGCAGAACGCTGCCAGGGTGGGATAAAGATAATAAAGATCAGATTCTGTCTGTGTGCGTATGTATGCGCAAGATTATGTATTGCTATGCGTTGCTGTGTGTGTGTGTGTGTGTGTGTGTGTGTGTGTGTGTGTGTGTGTGTGTGTGTATTAAGAGCCCTCTGCTGGCTGAAACTGAAATATTGCCCGGACTACTGCTCTGGGTGTAGTTTCCCAAAAACAATACTGTGCAAAGAATATTATAAGATTACTCAAGATGCTTCTTCAAATCCTTTATTGCTTTTCACCTCCATACTAATTTATGATCATTATATTCAGGAAATTGTGTGCTGTGTTCTTGATACAGACTGCACCAGTTGTGGAGGAGAAATAATCTATTATTTAGATTCTCTTCAGAGATCTGAAAATATTCCGATAACTATCCGGAGATAAAAGACTTCTGCTTCAGATTAAAAAGTAAAAGTGTGCTTTTCCCAGTTACTATCTTGTGTGGTCAGTCCTGCTGTTTCTGTAAAATTTTGTTCTCTTTCTTTAATCAGTTGGATTATGATAACAGTTTTAAAGACACAAGCATCATGTATTGACTGAGTATCATCTCTAGCAAGGAGCCTCATATATAGGATCATATGTTGCATTGACCACACTAAATCCCAATGTTTTATATATTATTCATGTTTTATATGCTACTGTTCAAAAGTTTAGAATCACCATCAAAAAGTTGGGATCTTTTCAATTATGGAACGACAGTTTGATTTCAGATAAATGTGAAACACAAAAGGAACTTTGTATGCTAGTCCTGTACAAAGGAAGCTGGGAAGAAAAAAGAAAAAAAAACATGCATTGTGCCCAGAATGATGAAAGGAGCTGTAGATGATTCTAAAATGTCTGAGAAAGCTGTATAACAGCAAGAATTAAGTTCCAATAAAAATAATATCTAGAATCCTCATGTCACAAGTGGTGATTCAATCTTGAGGTAAATAACTAGACATAATATACACCATATAAGTTACAGTATATACTAACTCAGAATTTTTGAAATGTTGCCTTTTGGTGTTTTGTTTATAAGATATACAGTCATATGCAAAATTTAAAACAACCCTAGTAAAACTATGTATAAAGCTTTTAGGGTTGGGCAATATGACTCTAAATATGTATATATATATATATATATATATATATATATGTATATATTATATATATATATATATATGGTTATCATCACAATACAATACAGTATGCTTTTCTGAACATATTGTGTAAATCAACAGTACTTGTAGAACACTGATCAACTTCATGTTTCATTATAAAGAGAGCAAAATTAGTCCCATTTAATTGGATTTAGTGCAACACAATGTGCCAAATTTGATTAAAAATCACTGTATTTGGTTTGATTATATTTTTAAAAATGTAGCTACTGGTTCTACTGGTTCTTTTTTCTTAGTTCCAACTGGTCAGATGTCTGAAAAAATAAATATCATGACATATCATGTATTGTGAACATTTTTTTCGAAGTATCATGATATTAGATTTTTGCCATATCACCCATGTGTTAACTTGAAACACAAGTTAACACATCTTCTACAAGAAAAAAAGTAAATATGTCTTATAATATAATTTTTCTGCAAGTTAGATTTAGGTTACAGTTTCTATTTACTTGCTGAGTTTAACATAATAAAAAATAAAAAATAAAATTTTAAACGTGCCGTAACTTTTGCACAGGCCACATTTTACAGAGAGGTATGTTCTCTGTAGAGGATGTATGGACTTATTTTCACTTAGAAAATCATTTTATTTGACCACAGGTGCCTAAACTTTTGCATACTACTGTAAATCTAAATCAGTGTATAAGTTATTATTGTATAAAAAATAACATAGATTATGAATATAGCAAGTGAACTACAAATTTTTGAACAGTATTGTGTTTGTAAATGTTCACTGTTCTCTGTCCTCATTCAGCTGTACATTTCTCTCACTTGGTCCCTTATCCAGCAGTTTTATCTCTCTGACCGCTCCATCGTTCCTGATGAATGTGATCTGTACATTTGTTCTTTCCACACCTGTTTGTCTTTGTAATCAAATTCCAACTTGCTCTTTTTCTGAATGTCATGTCTCGTCATCATTTCTCTTCATTCTCCCCCTCCTCTCCCTCTCTCTGACTGTCTGTTTTCTTGGCTCCTATGTAGAGCTGTCGTTCCGAGTGTGGATGTGTGGGGGCAGTTTAGAGATCCTACCCTGCAGTCGTGTTGGCCATGTCTTCAGGAAACGCCACCCTTACGATTTCCCAGAAGGCAATGCTCTCACCTACATCAAGTGAGTGTAATCTTTTTATAAAGCAGAATACAGCACCGCTGTGAATAGATGCAGTTTCAATATAATATGCATTTGCGTGTGTGCAGAAATACACGGCGAGCGGCAGAGGTGTGGATGGATGAGTATAAGCAGTATTACTACGCTGCAAGACCCTCTGCTCAGGGCAAGGCCTTCGGAAGGTCAGCTGTCTTTTCCACACTGCTCTTGTTTTTGTAGAAAGATCTTAACTAGATTTCTAGATGTTGATATAATAAATCAGCTCTGACTCTTACATTCTCTGCTATCATGAAATTAAATCATCTAATTTTGTTCCTTGTTTCTTATCCTTCTCTAAATCTTATCTGCTCTCTTCAGTATCGCCGACCGTGTGGCACTGAGAAGGAAACTGAACTGTAACTCTTTCCGATGGTATCTGGAGAATGTGTACCCTGAGCTCAGGTGAGTCAGCCTCTCCGTATCTGGAGCTGCCGTACCAGCCTCATTGAGGAAGGAGTGCCAGATTCTTTTCCATCTGTAACACACCACAGGCTGTCATCAGGAACCCATTGGGATAAAGGCAGTTCTCTTAACTCTTAAAGGGCCCATATTGTGGAAAACTGAATTTTTTAACGGAGTTTAATACAGTATTTGAACATTCCATACAGTCAATATATGGAAACTAAGCATAAAAAAACAGCCTAGTTTGAATTCACTGTTTATGTGATGTCACAAAAGCCATTACATTTACATATATCCGACTATTTAGCTCAGACAAATTTAGCTCCACCCATTCATGCTGAAATGATAAAGAGCCGGCATTGTGCCTATATTAGGAACTGCTTGTCTATGCAGGTTTCTCTGTGGAAAAAAATGAATGCTGAAAATGAAAATACAAGGAAAAGTTTTGGGCCCTTTAAATATATGGTTATTTTACCAACCATTCATACATACCTTGGGTCATTAGCAACACAGCACTTATATCTAATAGATATAACAGATATACAGATATTTTATATCTAACAGATATAATAGATAACAGATATACGTTTTATTCAACAACACAATAATAAAAATAGCAACATACTTGTTTTATTTTTATACAGTGTTTTGTGTTTGCCACTTAGAAAAGAATGGACGAGGTAGAGTAGGGGAAATGAGGTCACAGTTTGCTAGCTATCTGAGGTATGTGTTTAAGAGTTAACAGTTTCCTGCCTTGTGTTTGTATTTGTCTTTGGCAGGATTCCAGAGCAGAAGGTTACATACAGTCTATTGAAACAGGGTGGGCTCTGCCTGGAGAGCCACAGCACAGACAGCCTGGGTCTGGCTGAGTGCAAGAGCGGGTTAAGTATCCCTGCCTCACAGGTAATATATGTGTGATTACTATGTGTTACTTGCTTTTTAACGTCATTAAATCGATATGTAATTCAGTGATCATATACAAAGCATTCTTTTTCATCTATAAAGAAAATGAACAAAATGTGTCTGATTTTGCTTATGGCTTTTCTAGAACTATGGCATGTCTTGCTGGTCTGATCACTTCTAACTAACGGGTCTTTGTAAAGCTGGAAGTACTGTGTATTGTGGAGAATTTGACTGGGGAATTCTAGGCTGAGCTGTCTAAAGTGTCATGGTCTCACCCACTCTGTCTCTTCCTCTTTTACTCAGAAATGGACTTTGATGGAGCCACAGATCCGCCAACAGGACCTGTGCATGGCCATCACGGCCTTTTCCTCAGGGTCAAAGGTCAGACTAGAGCCGTGCAACCCTAAAGAGTCCAGACAGGTGAGCACCAGGAACTGGCATGAGCAGTAATGGTGGTAATCATTATATTACAGTTATATTACAGTTTAATGGAGCGGTTAGCCCATCAACGGAGCAGAGTAGGCTGTTTCCAACATCAGAGCAAATCAGATCATTGATTATGAATGCAGTCCTCGGCAGGGGAAGTCACACTCCTAAACTAACCCAGTGGTGACTACAACATATATACATATATTTATATATATATATATATATATATGTGTGTGTGTGTGTGTATGTGTGTGTATGTGTGTACTGGCTGTACTGGCTTTTTTAAATTATGGCAAAAATGAATGTCCCGACAGCGATGCAATATATAATTTGAAGGATACTCTGAGCCAATTTAAAAGTCCATTTTATTACAAAACAAGACATTTGTGCTTTCCCTTAAGACCCATCAGCTTTTGATTTAGAATCCACTGCTTGAACTTGCAATATGGAACAAAGTACAAACAAACATTAGTGTAGTTTATGTTGCTATCACAACCAATTTGTTATAAAAACATCAGGGATAGTAACAGGATGAGAAATGCATTAGAAAGATGCAATTGAGTATATATACACAAAAGCAATCTATGTCGCTAAACAAGCTGAACAACACTGGAGAAAAACAGTGTTTTGTATTGTCATGTACATATGCCATCTGGTGGCATTCTCTCGCTTTCTGCCTACAACTGTTCCTGAATGTTCTGTTCGAAGTTTAAAGTATAAACAACCATGACAGTGTTGTTATTCTCTAATGGTTCGTTGGATTGGAGCATGGGGCAGGAATAAGTGAAAATCTGACAATGCTGAGGTACGAACAGCACGCTATTGTGGAACTTGGCGAGTTCCAAAACATCAAGTCACAGCAATCCCCCTATATCTCATCCTCATCGATCATAGGGGAGCATGCTCTCTTTCCAGCACAGCTGGACCTGGAGCTGACCCAAGCCTGATTTACGACTTGGAGGTTGGGGCTAAACACAGACCATGTGTGTGAGATTGTGAGTATTGAGTACTGAGCCTGATTTCGTAGAGCTCTGTGATGTGTGGAGGATGATTCTTAAGTGGTTTCTTGGAATGGACTCTGATGAGTCATCTTACTATAGGAACTTGTTTTTGTAGCATCCAACAGTAGTGTTATTTATTTATTTATTTATTTATGTACCCAATTTTTACCCAGTCATAGCCAGTTTCACCTGATAGCTAAGTCTGGGAGGGTGAAGGCAGCATGTGTGTCCTCTGAGACGTGTGAAGCACGGCTGCATGTTTTTAAAATGCTGGAAACACAATGTCTTCAGAAAATCAATTTGGCTCTCTCAAGCCCTGTTTCTATACTGTTAATACTTTTACTGTGCTTAAATACTTTTTTCTAACATGCTCAGCTTCGCAAACCACTTAGAAGTGCATCATACAGATATTACTCAAGTGGCCACTCACAAAACAAGTGGAGGAGGGGACAGTGAGGAGCAGATTTTTCAGTCGTAACACACTCACCTTCAGCTTGCTTCAGTGAGCTGATCAGCTAGTCATGCACACTTTGTAATGCAGAATGTTTTTTGAGATGTTGAGATGATAATGTGCATAAATTTTGTGAATAATTGCTTTGTTCGATTATAAACAAGGTTCAGTTTGAAGGACAATGCGAGAAGATGCCGTCACCCTGGTCAAAAACGATTTACGCACTTCTTCTTATGAAACAACCCAGTTATGTACACACACACCAACAGAAAAGGTGCATTTTTCATGGTGCATGGTTATGCTGTGGAGTGTGTGAAACAGCTCGCACCTACTGTTAGGGTTGCCAGGTATGTGGTGTTAACATAAAATTGGGCTAGATTGAAACTGAAAAAAAAAATTATAAAGTTTCAGCTTTCTGGTAGACAGCTTATAAGCAAACACTGGCCTGTACATTTTTGCTGGGCCTGGCAACCCTGCCTGCCATAAGTTTGCTAAAAACGAGGTGTGATCACCAGCATATACCAGTGAGAGATGTTTGAAGTGAATAAAACTGAAAATTGGAGTTTGATTGGATTGTCTTAAGATTTAATTAAATAAAATGTAAAAATGTTATAAAAAGGTCTCCAGAATTAGAATTGCTAAGTTAGCTTAGAGACATATTAATGCCGATAGTGATGCTAGCGCTGCAATGACACATGCATGATATTCTAAATGTCATTGGTAACTGCTGTGGAGAGTTTTGTCAGGAGGAATAAAATGCTGATAAAATAAAAGAACTATTATGTCGAGATTCACCAGTAAATTATCTAGCATTCCACACAGTGAGCACTACTGAGTCATGCCCACAGTTTTCTTGAGGATTTAACGTTGTTGTGTCTTTATTTTTTTGTTGTTACTAGCTGTGTAGCTAGTTAGCAAGACAGCAGTAATGAAGTTGTATCAGCAGTCATGTATTACAGTTTGCTACCTAAAACCCAGTGTGAACATAGTAAATTGAAAGTTGAGGTTTTGAAATATCAAACATTCTGGGGTATTTTATTGCTATGGGTTATAAATAGCTTTGTCCACCATTTTTCAGTCTTGAAAAGGGAAATGCCTCAGGTCACAGTGATTTCTGTTCACATTCTGCTGCCGAAGTTGACAATTATGTTCGCTCAGTCATTGACCAATTCGAGTGTTCACCTAAACCCCTTTACTTGAGCTAATTCAGTAATGGAACAGCCTTTAAGACAACATAGGGGATTCCCTTGAGGAGAAACAGCGAGGCAAAGCTGAGAAGTGCTTGTTAAAAATGGTATTGGACAGGTGGTTGAACTCCCGGCCATGGATGGCTATGACATCACTGGGGATCAGTCTCATAATCTCCTGATGATAGGGCCAACGCTTAGACAGGAGACCCTGAGTAGCTTTAATAGGATAGGTCACATGTTGGTATTGCTCTCAGAATCCCAAGCATTTATTGTTTGTTGCAGTATTTTTTAATTACATTTTGTTACTAGCAGGCACACTGCTAAATAATATGACGTTTTAACTCATAGCTGTGGTATGCATAGCACCACATACAAATATGAATATGTTTAATTCACCATCTCTCTCCTCCTCCCTCTTCCTTATCTCTACCGTGTTGTGCACACACACACAAACATCTCTAATCCTGCATCTGGTTCCACTTATTAATGTTAGACTTTGCTGGACTTTTTCAGTTCAAGTCTTTATTAGTCATAAGCCTGAGCTTGCTTTTTAGTTAGTGACTTATGCTCCTTCCATTTAGAGTCATTCCCAAAGTCAGCATGCCCTGCACAAACAGATCTGGTCCCATTAGGAGACTGCTCAGCTATTTCTGTAATCCTCTTTGTGATGGGCACCAGGGGACAGTTTCTTAGAGAGCAGATTTATTTATGGAACCTCAACCTTTACACTGACTCACTGTTCATTGGGAACAACATTTGAACTAGTAGAAAGAAATGGGGCATAACCCATTCTTTACTCTTAAGTGGAGGAGAAAAAGAAATGCATGTTTTACCTGAGCGATTGAAATTTATAGTCAACAAACAGGATCAGTTGGCTGCCAGCATGTATTAAGTAATTGAGGAATAGCTTCCAGAGGCATTGTAGGTCATTGTCAGTACTGAAGAGAGTTCATGTTCTTGGTTTGGCTGCCATGGTTTTCCACAACTCCCAGCCCAATCAGCCATCTGATTAGAAAGCTTCATGACTCACTGTGTGGAGAGTTCATTACTCATCCTTAAACAAAACCTGCTGCTCCACACAGCCACCAAGAGACTCATATACTCACTAACTCTTGTATGCACAGGATATTGCAGCATTGCTTGGTTGAAACTCACTAAACACACTCACAGCCTTTCAGTGTTTACGCTGCCAAAGCTTTTAGCCAGTTACATCATTCAGTTTGGACTGGGTTTTTATTGCAGTAACATATTGATCTGATGTAAGTGCCTGTAATATGGCTGTGTTTCCAGTGAATGTATGATATCATTTTATAGTATTCAGGCAGCAGTTTTTCCAGCAGTATTTGCCATACGCCCAGTTTTTCATGTGTAACGTAATGTGCCTTATGTCAGTGGTTCTCCTGGTCCTGGAGTACATCTGCCCTGCAGTTTATTTTTTTTTACTGTACATGTATGATTTTTGTGGTTTATGTGCCATGGTGTCATATGACCATTTTTTTCCAACCTATCTTTATCCCTTAGAATGTTACTGCACCATTAAGATATATGTGAATTAGCTGTGTTCTGATTGGCTGTCCCTGTATTGCACCTCATTCAAAAAGCTGTCCAGACTGAAACACTTAAGCGTGAAAGCACAGGGCTAAACTGCTGCAGACTGAATAGGCTAGGATATGTAAATAAGTTGTTTTTTGTGACATCACAAAAAACAATGAAATGAATTTAAAACAGGCTGGTTTTGCATCTTACTTTCCAAAAAGGGACTGTATAGGCTGGGGAGAGAATGGTATGTTTTGAAGCTTTAATAATGTTTACAGACTACATTAAACTCTTTGATTTGACAAAAGTGAGGAAAATTCAGTTTTATACGATAGGGGTCCTTTAACTTTAACATTTAAAATATGATGCTTGCGGTACTTGCACAGCTGTCAAGTTTAACAGTTTAGAAACTCATGAGACTCTTTTTCTTTTGATGCAGTCTCATGGTTGTGAATATAAATCTCTGGTACACTATGCAGTGTTATCACTTAGATTTAATTATGTCTGAATTTTCTAACAGAGCAAAATATTCTGGCAGTCTAATTTCTAAGCAATTACAGCAATAAAAGTAAAAAACGTTAAAAGTGTATTTAAGTGTGATGTAAATAATAAGAGTGAAGAGTTTGAGGTTAACATTGAGTACTTTGAGTTATGAAGTCTTGCTATAACAGTGATGATAAACAGAGTAGGGGGTGTTCAAGGACCAGGGTTGGGAAGCACTGCCTTATATCATAAGGCTCTCTTACTGCAGTGAGTTTGCACCTGGTCCTACTTATATAGAACTAATTTATCCTCCTGTCTGCTGTTTCTCCGTCCAACAGAAATGGAAGCCCAGAGGTCCGGCACTGCAGCATATGATCAGTGGTTTGTGTCTGGACAGCCAGCCCCCAGCAGGCCCCCTAGTTATCGCACAGTGCCGCCCCCAGATGGCCAGCCAGTCCTGGGAGCCTCAGCTGGTCACCTGACTCTGAGAAGGCGGTTCGGAAGGAGGGAGCGAGGGGAGGAGTTTGGAAGGGTCACAGAAGCTTGTGGTGCTTTAGGGCCCAGAGGAACAATGTCTGCACACTGTTTTAGTTGAAGGTGCTGCTTCCAGACTAGTAGACCATGGCCATGTCCAAAAAACACTTCAGCACCTCCAAATTTGCTTCTGTGCTCCCACCACTGATAAGAAGTAGCTGGACAGGGAAAAGCTACAAGCTGCACCTCTAAGCTAAAGTCCTGAGTAGAGAGTTTTCACTGTCCAGGCTACTCACATTCAGTCACATATTTGGACATGGTCAAAGTTTACATTGAAAATAGAATAATAATGGCATCGTCCGTGACTGGCAGGAGAATTTTGTGATGTCTTGAATTTTCTTTTCTGTTGTGTTGGTTGAGGACGCAAAGGGAGAGACTAGTTATATATATTTATGCCTTTTACTACCTTTGAGAATGGTCACAGAGTGCCCACCTGTACACACTCATTTCCACAAGTGCTGTGGCCCCCTCAGTGTAGCTGTTTTCATAAAACTCTTAATGGAGTCAGTGTTTCTCTTTAAACGCCATTAATAAATGTTTAACCATTCTGATCAGCGAAGGGTTAGTTGAAGGGATGAAATACATCAAAATAAAGGTGTACATATTACAGAAAGTCATCCTTGAATCAAACTGTTTTTTTTTTCCTTTTGCAAAGAAACAGACAGGCTTTAATTTGAAAACTGCACTAGGTGCAGTTCTGAAAGGTGAGATGCTCAGAGCTTGCCAGCTACAGTAGGTTTGTAGCTTTGGGATTTGATACATTGTGCTCTCCAGCCGCAATACAGCATTATTCACATGCTGAGAAGTTTGGAAACTTGATCTTAGAAATGCTTCAAGGAGCAGAGAACAACAAGGGAACTCTGCTGAGCCGAAACTTCATCAAAGGCGGTGGTTTGGGGAATCCAGCGGAGCAGAATGTGATGGACTAATGAAATGTGCAAATGTGGGTTAACAAACTCATCTGTTAAATCAAGTGTGAGCACCTTTAAGGATTTATGATTTTGCATGGTACTGTGAAACACCACAAAAAAAACCATACGTGATATCACGTCCAAAGACTGTTTTTCTTGTTTGTTTGGTTTTTTTTTTGTTTTGTTTTAAAATTTTAAAATTTGTAAATACTTGAACCAAACCATGAAGAGCTGTCATTTGAAAAATAAAGAGTCTATAGCCTAGAAAAGAGTCTTTACTCATGCTGAAAAACGTTCAGGAAATATACACTAGCGTTCAGAAGTTTAGAGTTGCCATTCAAAAGTTTGAGATCACAGTTTTCAATAAAATTTGTGAAAGCATGTTACAGAGAAATGCATTAAATGATTGTATTATGATGCTACTACTCTACAATTTCAATGATTTCATTTAATTAATAGGAAGCTGTGTAGAAGAAAGAAATTGTAGATGTATCCAGAATAATGAACAGGACTGTAAATAGTGGCGTAAAAAGCTGTTATAATAAAACTACTCATCCAGAATACCTCAGATTTGAAACATGTTCAAAGAAAGAAAGTGTATCAAAAAATAATTATAAATAAATAGTTACAGTATAATATTTATCATTTAGTAACTTTTTGGTGTGCACAAAAGCTAGAATATCTTAAAAAAACATTGTGGATTCTAGCTGATAGTATACCAATCTACACTTTTTAAGTTATTGCTGAATAAATTAACAGCAATTATTAATATTACAAGCGATTCAAAACCTTTGAATTCTAGTGTATGTGCTAATTCACACAATGTTAAAAAGCAGTTAATTGGTGAATTAATTTGCTACAGATATGAGCTGCATTGCTTAGTTTGCCAGAACTCAGAAAAACTAGATTTGTGGATTCTCAGTCACTACAAGAGTTACAAGAGCTGCATCACTAAGCTACCGGTGCCGCTACACAAAATAGAAAAGATATTTTAATCGTGTTTAACCTACCAGTGTCCAGCAGTCACGATTTTTGTTCATTAATCTAGTTTGAAATTTGAAAGATTGTGGCCTTCAGCGCTTCATTTGCAGTGAATTGTTCTGGTTGCAGTTTAGTGTGTGGCCACTGGGTGGAAAGCTGTCATAAAAAATGGAAGATGGATTCAATCCAACTGGGCTCCAACATGAAAGTCACATCAACAGATTCAGATTTCATGCTGAGACGTTTTAAAATAGATGAGAAACGCTTCAGCGTGGTCTCTTGAAGCTGCATTTCCCCACACTACTGATAGCATATCAGTAGATGAGAAACTTCATGAACATGATATAAAGATGCGCTTTATAATAGCAGTATTGTTTCCACAATTTGCTCTATACTAAATTAGAAGCTACCTTGAAATGGAGATTTAGTGAAATTCAGTGAAATACATTTATAAATCAGCTCTTGACACCTGTGATGTTGTTCTTCCTTGCCAAATATTACACCCCTGCTTCTCCATCCTCCGCTTTTTATTTCTCCTCGTATGTTGACAATATTTTAAGCAAACATCCACCTCCGCTTGAGAACTCGTCCTTCAGCTCTGACAATTTGTCGAAGCTGGCTGTGCAGATGCTTTGGTATTTAAAGGTCAGCTCAGAGGTCATAGTGACCTATGGATCAAATGGGCCTCTGCAAAGACCGTCTGTCTGTGTGCGTATAATATTGAATAAAACATTCAATTTTGGTCTAGGACACTTAAGTCTCTCCTCACACAAGTTTTTTCAGCTGGGGAAGAAAGAAAATGAAGTGAATGAACTCCCAGTGACCATCACATTTGAACAATCTCACTGATGTGGGCCTCTGACGGAAACAGGCCAGCGTGAAGGACTACAGATAAACAGATCAACACGACTTTGAGAGCACAACAGGCTTGACAGCTCTGATGAGTCCACTCACCCATCTCCATTCACTGTTCTTTGGCATGCCACACATGCCACTGTGCTCTGCTCTGCGGGCAAAACACTTACTTTTTACGTGCTTGAAAAGAGCCTGCAGACTCTGGCCTAGTTTAATTTTCACTACGGTGATAGATTTAGGGTTTGGAAGTCAAACACACAGTCTAGAACAGATGCAATATAGACTGCATATTATCCTTCTCAGACCTCAGACTGGACACTTTAAAAACAATGTTTTGTTATGCTACATACTATGTGACATAATATGTTATTTTTATGTTGTTTACTGGGAAATATAATATTTAGTGTTCAGTATACTGGACATTTAGACTTAGGTATATGAAATATCAGAGTTTTAAAAAAATGAACATATTATAACCAACACAAGAAGACAAAAGCAGGCACTGTTCCTGTGTTACTGTATGTACAGAGGCATGAAAAGGTGTCTGGACTCTTGGAACTATCTGGACATCTGCATGAATGGCTCCTAAAATATTAAAGCATTTTCATGATAATTGTATATTATTTTAATGAACAAAGAGCTTTTTAACACAAAGTGTATACACAGACTTACATTACGAAATCTAAAATGAACAAATGGTTTAAACATTCGAGGTCATTGATGAAAAAGTCAGAAAACATTACATAGGCTATAATACATACTAAATAAAATTATAGGTAATATAAACATATTAATATAGAATATTTCAGAAACACAGGAAATGTTCAGTTCTTTGTTTGGGTGTGTGATCCCAATGATGATATATATTTTCATTTTTTAAATCTTGCAGATTTCTTGTGCCTCATTCAAATGCCCAGTATACTGGACAGTACAATCCATTACAAATGGAACATTCATAGAACATCATCCACAGTCACTCATAAATACATGAAATTCTACTTTAACAAAATAAACAAAAATCCTGAATGACTGCGTTTGGTAATGCATGAGTCTATTATACTAACCAAAACATCACTTACTACACCAGATTCCAGATTACTGGACATTAAAATTTATCTCAAAATGTGTGTGTGTAGAAATAAATATTTACTATTTCCCTATTTACCTTTCATGAGAGAGACCATCTAGAACGACATACATACAAAAACATTTCTGAAATAAATACAGGATAATTCAGAAACAGTGTTTCATTTGGTCTCACCAGCTGTCAGCTGGTTTGTGACAAGAATAAAATAAACAATATATTAAATGATCAACCAATACAAAGACTGAGTTCTGCCGAGACACATTAAAGTGCGTGTGGTGACGTACCTACTTCTATAGTGCTAAAATACCTGGGAAAATATTGACATGTGGAATGAGGAGGTTACCGACTCCTGGTTTGACGCAACAGCAGCATAACATAAATCGATATGAAGCTACGAGATACTAGATTAGCCTTGTTCTTCTGGAACAGTACACAGAAGCGTTCCTCCATGCCAGGCCACATATTTTGCGCATTATATCTTCCAACGTCGTGCGCCGTCTGTCTAAGACCCCGCCCATTATGTAAATGAAGGCGGTCCGTTGCTAAGGAAGGGCGAGGTTTGGTTGAGCCGGGCTGCAGCACCAGCGGACCAAGAGGGGCAGGTGAAGCGGAGCGGCGGCTGGAGGAGCGCTGGATTTCGGAAACCGTACATTTCATGTTTCGTCTCGTACATTTGGAGCTCAGGCAACACTGAACCCTTCTGGTTGTGCTTTTGGATACGCCGGACCGCGCTTATTTCCATCTGCTGAACAGGTAAGCTGACTCGCTAAAGACTGGTCAAACTCGCCTCTCCTCGAAGACCGATGATGTGATTAGCGAGCTAGCGAGCTGTGTAGCTAGTGAGCTAATTTCCAGGGATACTGCCTCACAGCTAGCCGGACTTTTTGGACGACCCTGTTGAGTCGTGGTTGCTTGTTCGCGGATGTGTGCCGAATAAGGCTTTGACAAACACATATGGCCGTCTCTTAGCTGGCTAACGTTACTTGCTTTAAACGTTTTGTTTAAAAGCTAGCTAGCTGGTTCCAGTTTATCCCGATAGACCAGCGAGTTATGAGATCTCGGTTTAGCTAGCTTTGGTGATTCTTAGCGCTAGTTACAGCGGCTGGTGACAGACCGCTCTCAAGTGTCGTTTAACAAACCATAAACTCTAACCTACGCCATTACATTTATAGTTAGCTACCTAGCTGGACGGATATATTGAGCTGTGGCTAATGTCTTGCTAACGCAGCTCGGAAAGGGCTGGAACTGTTCGAGCAGGTAAGTTAACGTCGCTTGGCTGGGTGTTTTAACTGTACCTAGCCTTAGTGGTCGGTAGCCCCGTTTTAACTTGACCGACAGTTAGCTGTTACAAACTAATCAGCTGTTCTATCGTAGTTAAGCAAGTTTACCATCGTACTAGCAAGATGAATTACTCCACCTACAAAACTGTGTTCAGCTACCTTAAAAAGTAATATGATTGATAGTTAGCATGTGTTGAGCTCACGAAGTGTGTCAGCTGGGCAAGCAAATTTATTTCGTAACCAACCTTTCCGGTTCTACCAAAATAGCCAGCTAGTGTTCTGAACTGAGGTAAGTTATAGGATTCCTCCCGCCAAATGAAAATGATGTGATTCTCCCTGCCTACACATTTGAAACTTTTGAAATTACTTGAAATAGAGCTGAGGGTGAGAGGCTAAAGTCCATCCTCGACCTCCACATACGGCTAGGCTTGACAAGCTGTCTGTAAAGGGCTTCTGAATAATATATGCCTTAGCAGTTATCTTAAAAACCAGAGGGGTATCACTGGGAATCGTGCATGATTTAATAATCTAGAACGTCTTTATTTTTTGGAAACGAAATGTTTCTTGTTCTGTTTACTAGTTAATATAGTTAATGTCCTGTCTCAACAAACCTTATTTCAAGCAGAAACTGTGATGTCCGGTCCCGGGGGTCAATGAGTGCAGTAACCTGTATTGATAGAGGTGAATATTCAAAATGTCATTTGAGAACTAGTCGGTCATTTAGGCATGGACATGTTGGACTTTGCATAATTTCTTTTTGTTCTTTATGTGCCTCCCAGACCAGTCCACATTGCCTAATATAGTGTATCTTCTACGCATAAAAATCTTATCTGGTAGCTCTGTCTGGTAGGAGTACTGTTTAGCAATGTTGGAATGGTACTAAACAGTTAATGATTATCACGACAGAAATCTGTACTATGCCCAAATCGTTTTAGATGTTTTGCCTGATTGTTTAAGCTGCGTTTTATTAGCGCAGTAGAAAGAAGGTGCAGGCCTGTAACAGACCTATCTTATTGGATTAGGTATGATATGTTATTTCTTTGAGAAAAGGCCTATAACCAGATGGCAGCCTCTATCGCACAGCAGATGTGAAAATAGGAAGGAGCACTGTTCTCCTTTGATACCTCTGGAGGATTTAGGCTGTTAATTCTTGATATCAAAGCCACAGGGTGTGCAGAGCAGCAGTTTAGGGAACGGTGACAAGTAGGAAAGCTGTGACGGCTGCTGTGAGGCATACTGAGACTGTTCTGCTGCCTACTGAGCCTGCTTCAGGGACTCTGCTCTGGCAAGCCTCCAGCACTCTGATTGATCACTGACGTCACATTCACACACTCTGCTGCACAATGACAGTGCATTCATAGGGTTTTAGCCTTTGATTTGTTGGATATTCTGAATTGTTTTGAGCTTTTCAGCTCTTGTGTTGCAGATTTTTTTAGTTCCTACTGCTTTAAAGCACATCTCAAACTCGAACACAGTCTAATCTGGTATTGCCATTTCACATTGATATAAGACTCTCCTATTGCTGAATAGTTTTTGTCTGGTCAGTAGCTTTGATGGTGTTTGTCTAGCAGCATGCCAAATAATGCTCTTTATTAAGTCATAAGTATCAGATGGGCTTATGATAATGGGGACATTTGTGTGAGTAAGAGAGTAATGCAGTCCCTCTGCACTCAGCGAGACTTGGATGATATTGTCTTTGCCATTAAGGCAAACAATGACAGAGCTGAGGCTGAGGAGAACCCTTGACCAGAGCAGACTGTTGAGACTTGCCTGCTTAAACATAGTCTCAGAGACAAACACCCTCTCCTACACACACGCACACGCTTCAGCTCATGCTCCAACACTCATGAAGAGCTTACGTTGCAACAGGAAGGATGAGCCATACTCTCGGTGTGAAAGAAAAAATGCTGGAACATTGTCAAGTCCATTGCAGCTATTTGGATATGAATGAACTGGCAGGTAGCCTAAGTGATTAAGGCCATGCACAAACAATGGCACCATAACTAATCTTGGCTTTCTCAAAGACACCCAGATTTAATTCCAGCATTCAGCACAAACTTCAGTGGCTGTCCAGGCTCCATTTACGCCTGGTCATTTAATTTGCCATGTATCTGGATTAAACCTCGTTCACATTTAACAGCAGTGCATTTGCGTTTCACAGTCAGATGTGTCTCCGGTCAGTCGGATCTCAAAATGATTGCTATTTTACCTTTAAAATTCAGGCTTGGCTCAGAGGGTAACTGTTACAGCTGAAGCAGCTCTTTGTTCAGATTTACTCACAGTTGTGCTGAATTTCAGAATGTATAGCTTTAAACAGTTTTTCAGTGATGCACAGTGATATCGGAATCACTCGGCAGTCAGCATCGGCAGATAATTGGACTGATAGATTAGATTTGAGGGAAAGTTTAAAGCAATATTAACTTACGTATTTATCGTGCCCCATAAATGCAGACTGTTGAGGGTGAAGGCTAGCACTTGCTTCCTCAGAGACACCTGAAGCCTGCCTCATGTTTTTCAGTGAACAGCTCAACGCAGTCATAGGAGAATTCTAACTACCAATTTTGTTATGTGAGCTAATAGACGTGTGTGTTGGCTAGCATCACGCTAGCAGTAGAAGCAGATGGTGGGCTGTTCTACCCTCCCAGAGAGATCAAGGCCAATTATGTTGTCTTGGACTTCTAGCTGTGGTGTTGCCAGGGATCGAACTCATGATCTACCAGTGATAGTACCAACACTTAGACGGTGGATCTAGTCTCAATTTCTGCATTTTCTAAACGTGTGTGTTAGGGCATCAGCCTCAGTATCAACAGATTTGGGCAATGAAAATTACCTTTTTTCCCCCCTCTCGTCACACACTGGAGTGCTTGTTTAACAACCAGAGCACACTAACCAGATGAAAACCGACAAACACTAACAAACAGAAACATTTGGCAGGTGTGCCATACTGGTGTTTTGATTTGTTGGGAGAATCTAAAACATTCTCTCCTCATTCACACTAGTTTGTTTGCTTCATCAGTTCTTTTTCTGGACACTCTAAAGACAACAGCAAACATTTGACTGTTGGCATTTGTTGCATGTTTAGTCGGTGTGCTCTGGTCTTAAGAAGTTTGCCACGGATGATTTCTAAACAGACAAGAGCTACTCATGAGAGGTAGTGCTTAAGCCAACATTGTAGTTCTCAGTAAAGCCTTATCTTGGGTTTAACACATTAATTCTTTTCAGCTAAATGAAAGAAACTTACAATAGCAGAAATTTTGGGAAGATCTGTTCTGCTTATCTTTGTATTTAATTTTAGCAGAGCATGCTTATTGGATCATTGAGGTCAAAAGAGGGAAGCTCTGTTGTTAGGGTCTGGGCTGTACTCCTCCCTCTAAGAGGAAAGAGACAGCTTAACAGGAAGAGCAATGACTTTTAATGCAATATTGAAGATTTGTAATAGGAAACACATGCTCACTTATTTGTAAACAAATATCTTATTGGTCTCACTGATTTTAAAACCATTACATTTGTAAAATCTTCTAGTGTTTTTGTGTGGTTTTAGGCCTTTAATTTGATTATAAATTTCCTGTAAATTCAAGAGGTTTTGTTTTTTGGTATACGTCTAAAACACCTATACCTCTGTTTCCTTCTGTAATGTGCAGTTTCTCTAACGTCATTTCTGCATGTACAACGCATTGGGCAGTGTTGTAAAGTGCCAACTAGTGTATGTATTTGTGAAAATGGTGCACAAGTGCAGTGTATGTCATGTGATGGATGGTACTTTCAGAATTGCAATTTTGCATGGCACTTTTGCTTTTTACATTTTTTTTTTTATTATTACAGGAAAACTTCATATTCCTGTCATGTGTACAGTGAAAGACAGCTGATGAAACTGTTTAATATAGCAACAACCAAGGCTGCAGCTGCAGCAAATACTTCTGCTGTCTGAGTGAGAGTAAATGTGAAACTTTGCTCGAACTTTCCCATGTGTTTAGTCCCTACGTGACGTGCGTTCCCACTTAGAGTTATGCATGAGGTTACGCAGTGGGAGGAGTTCTGGTTGTCCTTTATGCTTTGAAAAGACTGATTCAGACATTTTGTAACATCTGGCTAGGATGAATCTTGAACCACCTCTTAAAGGGGTTTAGGTTAGGGGCAACATTTTTCATGTCGGGATCCTTATGTAGAGGTAGTGTTTGCCCTGTGACCCACCAAATATTCTGAAAAGTGAAATAAGACCTACATAACACTTACTCAACATACGTTTCTTTCAATTATCAAAAATAGTAGCAAACCATTATTAGAGAATGAAACATGCATCGGCCTACATTGAGGAAATTGTGACCCTGATAACACGTGAACTCTTTGAGAGTATCTGTGATGTGGTGCATAAATGGAGTAGTTACCCCTTCGGATCTAAAATGCACTTCAGTTAGTTCGGCTTTCAAGGAATAAAAATATGCATGTATTCATGCAGCTCCCTCGTGACCCGCT